ATCAGTAAGTAATGACTCTGTTCATCACACAAAGCTATAATTTAACTATGAGGGAGGTCGTCAAATCCGTAACGGCATGAGGAGAAAATGACGACAGAACAATGAACTTTTCCTTCAAACCTCTGTTAGATCCTGAAGGAACTTTGTGCACTTTGGACTGATTGCAGTCTCTTTAATGTTGCATGAAACGCGCTCACTCAAATGCCTTCACCTGGAAGATGCAGTGCCGTCAGACTGTGCCAAAGCCTCCGCTCCAGAGCTGTGTTTGAGCTCGACCTTCAGTGGTCTGGGAATCAGCAAGCCGACTGGTAGAAGAAGAGCCAGAAGGCAGTGACAGCTCTGGATAAATCAACCAATAGCACTGAAACACACACACACACACACCTTAGGCAATGAGTGACATTGGGAAAGCATTTAAGTATACAACTCTTACTATTTTTGCAATATGCACAGTACAGTATATTGTGTAAATGTTATGCATGCATGGAAATTGCCTACTACATGCACACATACAATATCCCATTCCCAGTGTGACAAATTACTTATACAGTGTAAAAAGTTAAAACTATTTCAGTCTTTCCACTTCAAAATTTCATGTTTAATTCACTGTGTTACTGCCATTATTTCTGAAATTTACTAGCAATCTCTGAGTGAAAACTGTTTCAACATAATCGTTTTTAAGTGTGCAAAATATTAAAAAAAAATATTAAGAATGTTAAAAATGTGTTTGAGTGATTATTTGATCAGGTTGCCAAAGGTTATGATTTTATATATACATAAAATATATATAAAAAGATTAAAAATGCACCTGTAACGTGCTGGAGAAAGCAGGTGACGGCAAGGATCTATCTGCAAGGTTTTAATGAAATAGCACATACAACAAATAATAAAGAGCTCCAGGGACAAAGAAATAAAACCACGAGAAGGACCGAACTAGAAGCAACCATACATGTACAACAACTGAAAAAGTAACAAGTGAAACACAAGGGCTATAAATACACAGGGGCAAACAAGCTTAACTAGATAATGAGGAAACAAGATACACCTGGGGAGACGAATCAACATGAAAAACTACATAGGACTACAAAACTTAGCACAAGACAGGAAATGACAAAAGTACACACAAGACAAGTGGAACACAAGACAGGAATCATGACAGCACCTTTAATGCAAATGAGTTTTATTTCTAAGTCTGATTTAAACAGTCAATATTGTGTCATGTGACAACAGTTTAAAATGTTTGCCGTTGCATATGCATACTGTATTAAAGCTCCTGTAGGTAACTTTTGAAAACATGTATTTGCTCAAACTGTCATTATGTCCTGACAGTAGAATATGAGACAGATAATCTGTGTAAAAATCAAGCTCCTCTGGCTCCTCCTAGTGGTCCTATTGCCATTTGCAAGAAATACACGCTCCCGGTCAGAAACAACCAATCAGAGCCGAGAGGAGTGTCTTAGCAGTGTCAGTCACGCTCGTGTACGCGCTGATCACACCCCTCTCTTGCACAGCGCGAGCGCCGGAGCGCGAGCCGTCGTTCAAACTCAAGATTGCTGGCGTGCTGCAGCTGTGCTTATGACGGAGAAACAACCTAAACTGCCAATTCTCGAGTGGCACCTGCTCATAAAACAAAGAGGTAAAAGGAAAAAGACTGATGACGATAAACAAGCGAAAAAGAAAGAATTACACAGAGCCCATTGACTCGGTGTCAAAACTCTAGCCGCATAACATGTAGATAAAATGTCACGCACTCTGCTAAGCAACAATTGAAACCTGCTAATTCACTGGCTTGTCATGTTGCTGAAATAATGTACTAGCACACCTTATCTAGCATTATATATCGCTAGAATAATTACTTACATGCTGTAACGTTAGTTACCGTTATATTAACATTATCTTACTAGCTATTTATAACTTATAGAAAGAGTGCAACGTTATAAAGTTACATGTAGGCTATTGGAAAATACATAATGATTTGAGGACCAAGTTTGTAGTCAAAGTATGGGCAGGCCATAGTCAATGTAAAGCATATTATTGACGTTTAGTCCCTATTAGTGAATGTGCCATATAACTTTTTATCCGCCGTCATCGGTGGCCCTGTTTACTAGCCTGCGCGTTCACGACAGAATCCGCTGTGGAGGACGAGCTGTGGAGGGAGGGCTGTAGCGCAGCAGAGAGCAAGGGGGCGGGACCTGTAAGTTGTGCTTGTTCAAATTTTCAGGCTAAGTCAACGTTTTCTAAAAACTCCCTACTGCAGCTTTAAAGGGGTGGTTCAGGATTTTGGACATCGGGCCTCATTTCCAAGTTAGCCTTAGTGTTATTTATCAGTGGAGACAGATTTCTAACATTATTCTCTCAACAGACATTTACATCGATAGTCTGGCGTTATAATTGATCTGCTTTTGGTGTACTGTGGAGTGGGTAAAACTGTTTTTAATGGCAGGCTAGCAGTTACCGTTGACTCGCGCTAGCCTAGCACCGGCGAACTATGCAACTGGAACGACTGGATGAACATTTTTGAAAACTGTCTCCACTGATAAATAACACTAAGGCTAACTTGGAAATGAGGCCCGATGTCCAAAATCCTGAACCACCCCTTTAATGCTTCAAATACTAAAAATAGTAAGCAGTGTACACAGTATGCTGTTTCATTCAGGCTCAGAGTGAACAGGTGTGATACTGTCACACTTTTACAGTTCAGAGTTATTAGTCACAAACTTAATTTCATCCTGTAAAGCCAGTTTTAAACAGGAGGTTTACAGCCCCCTATGGGCACATGAAGGTACTGCAGGGAGTCTGTGGGCTGATTAATAAATAAATAAATAGCCTATATATCTATCAGTATCTGGGTTTATCAGTGTGAGGGATCCCAGGTCATAACAGGATGACAACTGCTGCTGTAAATGAAGACGTGTCGTATTGTTGACATGTAAATTGGCCGTGAGGCGGATGGGTTGTGTGTTAATTGAATGTGTAATCCATTTGCTGCTTCAGACTGCAGAAATAAAGCTATCTGGCACAACTCCTGCCTCTCAGAGACAGATTACAGCAGAGTCTAGGGGAGAAAAGGTCGACTGTCAGAGGACTAGCAGACGCCCGAGAGAAGAGAGAGAGAGAGAGAGAGAAAGAAAAGCTGAAAAGAAAACTGTTCACATAGAATAATCCATTTAGTATAGCATGCTAAATATGCTTAGAATGGCATACACAATGCCCATGTTAAAGTTTAATATGAATCTAAAAGGTAACACTTTATTAAGGTGATTATAGTAATTATAGTAATAAGAGTAAATTATGCATGATTACAAGTTACTAACAATAAACCCAAAGCTTAACTCTATAATAAGTTAATATCATTACTCAGTATTTGAGTCAGTACAATGTAACTACGCCACCTTAAAATGAAAGAGTAGCCAGCTATAAAAAAAGTAAATAACATAAAATTAATGCTAAAATGCCAATATACTTGCCATATTCCTTATTCATGTCAATCGCAGTTTGATTTTGTTCTGATTGAGGTGTGAATATGAGTGTTTTCTGCCTCCCTAGTCTTATCGCTTTAATTTACAGTGATATATGTAATGCTTTTCTATTTTTTCATGATGTCGAATTATAAAAGTGTTCACATAACAGAGCTACGCATCTCTACACACATTCATATTACTCGTGAGAGTCGTATTTACATAAAACACGCTGCTTTTGATGTCTTAGGCTGCCATCTAGTGTCTCCGGGGGTAAAAGACTTTCAAGAGCTTCCAGAAATGTGAAACGCAGCACAGATAAACAGATTTAGCCAGAGACGCGTCAGTCACGGACGAAACCGTCATCAAATATAGATGAACGTCTCCCTCGAGTTATCCATGAAGGACGTCTGTATAGCCTGTAGACTTTTAGATCTGTGTGTGGATAAATAGTTTTGTGTAAGTGAATTATTCAGCTCAGGATGAATAATATCGACGCTGACTTTCACCCTACTGTACTCTGCTCCCGCAACCAGGGTGGGACTGACATTGATATATGGAAAACAGGACTGAAAAGTTACTTCCCAAACTATTTACTGAAACTAAACTGCAAACATAGCTCGTTCATGGCATCACAACTGGTCTTCCATGTTTAAATATCAATTCAATTCAATAATTTCACATACAAAGAGATAAGTATGATATGGACGACTTAAAGGTACAGTAGCAGAAATGTCCTAATGGCCAGCGCAAATGCTGAATAGCCTATTGGTCATAATTTTTTTTAAATATTATTAGACTGACGATATATTCAGATTTCAGTGATATATAAAATGATATATATATATCTGTAATTAACCAACGGAATAGTGTTTTAATCACAGCTGTCTCACTGTAGAGTTAATATCTTTATATGTTCAATCAATATTTTTAGTCAATTTGTACAATGAGAAAATTTTATTTTAAATACATATACATTTCAGCTAAATCATATTTTAGGAGTACACTAGCAATATGAAAAGTCAACATGCATGAACTAAAAACCTATTTTCATTTTACAGTATCGGATTGGCTGTCATGTCTTTGGTGGGCGGGCTTTTAAATAAAACGCACGTGATCGAAGGTCTAAACTGCATTGGCTGAGTCTGGCTACAGTTGCAGCAACAACTTTAAAACAAAGTCAACCTACAGCTGACCACTTGGTGGCGCTGTTGTCTATGTCAAATATGCTGTGTTACATCTCACACATCTGTGCAACTGCTTTGGCAAAATTACACTGCTTAAGAAATAATTGCTGTCATCATTTATATAAATAACAGCTCTTTTAATGAACTTATCAAGCAATTATAATTATAATGCACCACACCAACCAGTTAGCGAATCTATAAAAGGCATGCATTTGAAAATATCCCTAGCAGTTTTTGATGGTTTGGAGATATGTGTAACACGTAGAGGTGGAGCATTTATGACTGAGGAGTTTTGTTACACTCCTCCTATGAATGCTTCAATCATATCATCACACACAGACGTCTCACAGTGGACACTGGGAACGCAACTACTGGACCACTAGTTATATAGGAATGCTGGAGAAGCTCAAGTCGATCTGGGACGCTGAAGACGACAGCACAATGCAATTAGTTGATGTGGAGCTAGAGAAACACACGGAGAGCAGGACATCCACACACAGCTCAAAGCTTCTGTCTCACTCTATCGAGGAAATACTGAAAAAACCGTCCAGTTTGACAGTCCGACCTGACAGAACAGACAAGAAACTTAAAACATCTGGATGTACACAGACCAACATAAAGCCGGACGCTCCTAAAATCAGCCAATGCACAGCAGGTGTCTTTTTTTTTTATATTGTCAACTGATATTAGGCTTAATAGCTTGTTTATAAGAAGAAGGTAACACTTTATTTTACGGTGTCCTTGTTACATACTTACCGTAGTAATAACAGTAAATTATGCATAATTACATGCAACTGACCCTCAACCAAATCCTATCCTAACCCTATAGTAAGTACATGTAGTTGCTTAATATTACCCAGTATTTAAATATATAATTACACTGTTACAATGACACCTTAAAATAAAGTGTAACCAAGAAAAATAAGTAACACTTTATTTTACAGTGTCCTTGTTACTACATGTACTTATAGTAATAACAGTAAATTATGCATAATTACATGCAACTACCCCTCAACCAAATCCTAATCCTACTCTATAGTAGTTGCATAATAGTATCGGTACTTAAATATATAATTACACTGTAACAATGACACCTTAAAATAAAGTGTAATCAAAAAATATACCATTTCTTATCTGTTAAACCCAATAAGAGGCTTTGAAGCAATTTTTCTAATATGTTTCTGATGGTGCAGCAGCTCGTGGGTCCGGTCACAGACGGGTACGGACCACATTCACAGTGACCCAGCTGGAGGAGCTGGAAAGAGTTTTCCAGGAAACACACTATCCTGACGCTCACACCCGAGACCGGGTCGCCTGTCGAACGCAGCTCTCCGAGGGACGAGTGCAGGTACTATACGCCGTCCGAAACAGCCGGAAACACACGTAATAACCCTGACCAGTGCATGCTTTCATTAAAAAGGAAGAAATATATCATTTATTTGCTGTAACAACACAAATTAATCTTTATTTTAATCACCTTTTAGCTTTTTGGATTTGTCTAAGTCTGTGGCGCGATAAACGAATTTCTATAAAAGTTCAAATATTGAGCTATGAATAATATATTATAATATAATATAATATAACAATCTACTATAATATAATATAATTAAATTTACCATGTCAGTATTTGTACCTTTATATAGGCTATATACAATTTAAGTATGTATTTTGTATATACATTGAGAGTCTACATAAAATATTGTACGTAACACTATAATATAAACTATAATTTCAGCTATAATATACATAATATGGATATTAAGTGGATATGAATAAGTATATGTGTGCCAAATGCTGTTGTTAAACAATTTATTTTGATATACATTAAAACCATTGGTTTCTGGCTCAAATGTGATTGGTTGACTTGAAACAGTTACTCTTTGACTCATTTTGAAATAACATGTTTCAATCAAGTAACCCAATCAAACGGGACTTTCACTTCCCATCATGCTTTGCAAAGGGGCTGAACTGGGAGAGTAAATCTTGAAATAAAGTGTTATTTTATGTTTTTTTTTTTTAGCAAGATGAGAAAATGGAGAAACTTGTTAGAAACCTGCTAACAAAAATTTAAATTGCTTTAATAAGCAAACACTATGGTAGTACTCTGGATGAAACCAGTATAACTTCTGGACTAATGAAGTGTGTAAAGAAAAGTTATTTAGTTTGTTGTCTAGGACTAAACCAGAACCATTAAATGGGGGATTCAATTGAAATGAGAAACCATTTAAGTGAAACTAAAACTACTCTTTCAAGTAAAATGGACATCATTGATTCGAGTTAGTTGTACATGGTTGATTCTTTTGGGTTTTACTAGTTTTAATCAAGTGGAACCACTGTCCATGATTGAATCATGTTCAGCCAAAGAGCGATTTTTTAGTGTAATATGAAAATAGTTGTTTATCATATTTGTTTAGATCTGGTTCCAGAACCGACGGGCGAAGTGGAGGCGCAGTGAAGCTAAAGCCGCGCACAGACCGCTAGCAGTGTTGAGCGATGCAAAACACACTCACCACCTCCTGCCTCCTGTCCTCTATGTTCCGGTACACACTTTCCTTCACATCCATCCATGAGCGGAGACCTTTGAGACAAATTACTGATGTCCCAAAAACTGCTGTAGAGAAAAAGCAAAAGGATAGCATAAATAACTTACCTTTAACTTTATTTAAAAAAAAGTTAACTAAACTAAATTTAATAAAAATCACATCTTGGATGACCAGTAATGTATTGAACCCAAAGGTCTTGATGAGCTGATCCAGAGGTGTTTTGTTAGAGCTCAGACTCAAATATTAGTACATTTATTAGATGACATAAGATTTGAGATATTAAACTTAATATTTAATTCAGAGCCATTTAAATTCCAGCCACTTGCAAAAGCATTTGCTTGTGCAAATTTAGCTTCAAATCTAACTAACATCCCACACTGTTTATTAAAAGATGGATTTTAAAGTCGACATGAAATGATAATTCACCATATCTATTTTGGGTCTTAAATTAAGTGGCTTTAAGTACCATGTACTTACATTGAAACTAATAATTTGATACAATAGACTTATTGTGTACATACATGTTTGTACATTGTACTTATATTTCAAAAATACCAGCATGTAATTACAGCTGTAATTACACAGTTGACCCTTCCCTTACACCTTAACCCACCCTTATACCGACCCACACCACACACACCTGTCCCTAACCTTACCCGTATCACACCTCAATAGAAGCAAAAGTGTTTTACAATATAAGTACATTGTACTTATTTTTCGATGTAAGTACATAGTACTTAAAGCCACTTAATATAAAGTGGGACCCTATTTTGTATTTGGTAAATGCATGTTATATATCCGTGCATTTGTTTCTTTTTTAAAACAATTGTTTTGACCTTGTAATAAAAACCAGACCTTCAGGTGAAAACGTCAGACTGATGAATGTAGGACTTCATCATTCAGTGCGCTTAAACTCCGCCCCTCCACTTGGGAGTGCCACGCCCACATCTCAACATCCAATCAGCAACCAATGCACCATTTCCCCGGCCTACTTTTTTTTCCTTTTGCATAATCCTGTTATACACAAATGTACATCACAATATGGAAAAGATTAGTCGCTACTTTAGTTTTATTGTGACTTTACGCTAAAAATGAATTTCCAAGTAGCTAAAATTTGTTTTCTTATTGGCTTTTTTCAATTCCAGTGCCGGAGCTTTCACCAGAGGTTCTGGCTGTCGGAGTCAATCTGTCCTCCCATTGGCTCTCCTGAATATCATCGTTCATACTTTTGACCTTTCATAGGTCTGCCACCATTCACAAGACATTTTCAGCTTCAGTGTTATGAAGATCAAGGCCTTTTTGGATCTATTCTTTCCTTTTGGATTAAAAACACATTTAATATCTTGTATCATATCAACTGTTAACTTTTCCACACTGGTGTGTATATATAAGCATGACTGTATCATGTGTTTTTGTAAATAAAATGTATTTTAAAAAAGAAATCATACGTGAAGTGATGAACGCATGGCAAGTTGTAAATCAATTTCCTTATCTCATCACAATAAAACCCTGATAAAACCACTAAGTTAATAATAGGCCTATCATTTGTGACAGAGAGCACTCACCGATTGAACGGAGAGATTTCCAGAAGATGGAAGATGAGATCTCATTCCCAGAGGTCTGAAGACGATCATATTTCATTCTTGAGAAAATGGCAAATGGAAATGTTCAGGTTCATACAAGTGAATCAATGCTGTTTTCTGACAAATATGACGTCTATAATTCACGTTCACATCCAGTGGCATTATACTCAGCAAACAAAAATATATTCTATATTTTGCCAATGTTCCCATTAAGTTATTGGGAATTATAGTGGCGTTATTTCTGAATGCTATATCTGGATGTTCAAAATGTCCTGTTTTTAAAATGTTATTCTTTCTTGGATATTTGAACGTTCTATATAAACATTCCACTTTAGAATTTTTCAAACATTATGGGAATGTTACATTCAAATGTTCTCGGAATGTTCTGAAACAAATAGCAACATTTAAAAACGTTAGAACATCCAACTGAAAAACGTTCCATGAACAACGTATAAATAACGTTTTTGTGCTAACATTATTAAAGATAACCTCGAACAAACGTTCTATTAACGCCACTGGAAGAACGTTTGTTTATAACATTAAGAGTTTAATTAAACAACTTAAATATGTATTTAATTAATAGTTCATCACAAGTGTTCTATTAAACAGCATCATGATGTTATCTTCGCCCTCCAAGAGATAAACTGTAAACTTGAATGGATATGGTGCCATAAATGAATTTTGTTGTCGAAATGTCTAATTATCACTGAATTGGTTTATTGTCTCTTAAACCATAAAGTTGGGCCTTATCTTAATTTGACTGAGTTCACAGGCAGGTCAGGATGGGTTGAGAGGGCGAACACAAGGGTGACTGCAGGGTGAACGCTGAAGGGAAACACACGACAGATAACAGCAAACAAGCTGAACAAAATCAAACCCGAGCCTAGAGTAATCTCAGGGCGACAGGGCTGATTCGTCATGAACACGTTTTTCAGTTTGAAGGATATAATTCACAAAATCTTGATGTTTAGATGTTAGAAATTAACATATAAAACCACTCCTAGTGTACACAAATCCTGAGAGTTTCTGACATACAGCTCCTGTATTGCACTTTAATATTACATACTGTTCTGAAGAATGCAGTTTGCCATTAAAATCACTTGGTTTCTTGAAAAGTCTATTTGCATTCTGTATATGAATACATGCGTGTGGTGCATATATAAACAAATGTGTCCTATGGAATAATGAACTCAAGCACAACCACGCCTCATAAAATTGTAAAATACATGTATCTTCTTATTGGACTTTGAAATGGATGTAATTTGTGTGCTATGATTTACGACATGTTGATTCATGTTGCGTATAATCTGAGCTGGAATATTTTCTGTACATTAATAAGTTACATGTGTTATGGAAGCTTGTTTCTGCCCTGGAAATAAAATAATAAACAAGGTCATTTCAACTTTTTACTCACAATTCAGACTTTTTTCAGTCAGAATTGTGAGGGAAAAAATCAAAAACAAAACAAGCTTCTAAAACATGTATTTTCATAGGCTATATTATGTGACATTTGTGGGAGTCTTATTGTAAAGATGACATTTATTGCAATAATTTAATTTAAAAATAATTTTTTTTTAAAACATCCCTACTACCTGACAGACACTGAAATAGATGCTGAGAGAAATCAGTTTCTGATATAAGGGGGCGAGCACGTACTTCATTAGCCAATCAGAAACTGACTCGGACTGTCAATCACTTTGTGTGTTCGCATTTACCTGGAGGGCGTTTTAGGGGGAAAGGAAACAGTTTTTACAAAAACAACAAAAGGGTGTTTCAAAGAACAGGGCTGTGTGCAAAATCACTCCCTATACACTTAAATGGGGCACGTTTTGAGGGAAAAGCCGTTTGTAGTGGTGTCCGAAACCATAGTGGAAGTTATCAAGTGCAAATTGTTTAATTAAGGTTATAGTTTCAATGACAGTTCAAGATATTTCTTTTTATCACTACTGGAGCTAGCTTGCTCAATTTCAAATAATTATTAAACAGCAAGCACAAACTATGCAAAAGCAGCAGCACTTACAGTGTCCGAAATCACATTCATTCACTATTCCCTACATTACTCCACTAATATAGTCCACTTGAGGAACTGAAGAATGAAAGGGAGTGAGTGAATTCGTGAGCGTTTACTGTTTAATAATTATTCGAAACTTAGCAAACTCTCTAGTATGAAAAGACTTATCTTGAATCTGTCATGGAAACTAGCATAAACCTTAATTAAACAATTTAATGATCAATTAAAAGTAATTTATACCTATTTAAAGGAAATGCAGCTGTTTTATAGCGTATTTCTGTGTTTTCCCTCCCCTTAACATCTTGGTTATATGGCTTATATCTTGTACAATTTGATTGGTTCGCCTAAAAAAATCAGACAAATGATTGAAAAGAATGATTCATTTGCGAATCGGAAATTACTACATGTAAAATGGTGGAAGTTAGCAAAATCAGGGAAAATATGGGTGCGTCTCAATCAGCTCCCTAGCTAGTGTTATAGTGTATAGTCTAGCTAGTGTATAGTCACATAGTAGTCATAGTGTATACAAATCTGGGCACTGGTAAGGATCATGGCTCACTACACATTGGGATCAGTGGCTGTGTTCAAAATCACCCCCTATACCCTTAAGTAGTGCACTATTGGAGGGAACAGCACTTTGTAGTGGTGTCCGAAACCATAGTGGACATTATCGAGTGCACTCATTCAATCCCACAATGCATCAGTGTACTGTACAACCGATTTACGCTCAAAGACTAGAGAATACCCATAATGCACTGTGAGAATTGAGCGCCAAATTAATACTGCTGCGTCTCACCAGAAGATGGCGTCTGAATCATCCATTCATCCATTTTCCAAACCGCAGGTCTAATGTGGCTATAAATAAATATCATACAGGTATAAATTCCTTTTAAATCGATTGTCAAATTGTTCAACTAAAAATGTATTGTTTCCATGACAGCTCAAAATAAATTTTGCGGTGCATTGTGGGATTTTTTTCAGAGAGAAAAGGTTTTCAGGTTTTGTCAATGTTTTATGATATAATACTCAAGTTAACAACAGAAAATATTGGCACAAAAATAGTCCAGGAACTACGGATTCGTGTCATTTGTGTTGTAGTGCGTTCACGGCTTGGCATTGCACCATCACACACTCGTTTATTTTTACTGCTGTAGCCTTACCTTGACATCTTTACTCTTCCAAATGTTCAACTTTTCACCTTCGTGTTTATCTGTGTTTACAGCCTCTCAGCAATGACGTGAAATCCAGACTATCTCGGTCTTATCAGCGCACTTCTGACTACGGCAGAAAACCCGGTATTTAATTGGTCAATAGAGGATTAATCAATATTTCCTGACTGATACACTGATGTTTGATCAGGTATTTCTGTGGAGGAAAGAAAAAAAAACGTTACCATGGTGAACAGTGATCAATACTACCTGCATATATGTGAATGCAGAGTTTAATTAATGTAACATTACAGGCTTGTATTGCAAGATTATCAATGTTCAGGAGACGTCTGCCCTCTTGTGACATTTTTAGAGACTTTACTCTTCAGATAAATCAAAAACAAATAATCCTACGGCAAACTATTAAACTTTTAAATATTAAAATAAGGGCGCTGGCGATCTCAACGGATGTTTTTCACAGACTGATGACGCGTTTTACAAATATTATTTATATACAAGTTTTTATGTTATTATTATTATTTTTTTAAATGCGTACATTCATAACAGACTTTGTATTTTATTACCTTTGCATCAAATTAGAAAAATATAGTTAACGCTGCTGGTGTTTCTTCTCTCTTCTGACTGCCGCTATCAATCTCTCTCTATTTCTGTCCCTCTTTTTAACTTTAAAGTTATGAAAACACTATTGTGGAGTTTTTCTTCTCCTGTTTGAGCAAATGGGAACACAAAAAATATATATTTAATGTAGTCTCTCATTCACCGCTATGAAACTTTACTTTACCCAACTATGACAAATTCCGCTTTTGAAAAACCTGGAAATGTGAAAATGGCGGCTGCAGGTTATGAATATGCAAATTTGTTGGAATAATAGGAGACCTCGGTTTATTAAAAGAATGAAAAGACCTTTCCTTAGATATAGCCTATATATAATTTTATTTTATGATTATTAGTTATTTATTTAACTGATAGGTGCCTTGCTTACTACTTGTTTATCTGTATTTATAAATGTCATTAGATGTACATTTTGATATTTTGCTCTTGGGTGTTCAACATTTTTTTAAGCTTATGAATATGCATGACGTCACGGGACTGGGCGCTCCCGGAAGCAACATCGTGAAGGGCTGCAGCAAGATGGACTGACGTCACAGCGGGAGGAGAGCCGAAGTGAGTTGAGCCACTTTTCTCTCCATCCTAGTGATGATGGCGTCCCAACACCCATGATCAAGCAGAAAAAGAGGAGGAAGAAAGAAAGGAAGAAAGAAAGCGAGGCCCCCCTTTTTTATGATCGCGATGTTTGATTTTCACTCGAAATGATTTAGGGTTACATTCATTCTTTTGTTGATAATATGTCCGTATCATTGACTTTGTATTGGAGGTTCGGGTAAGGTGCATCCATCCATCCGTTCATCCATCCATCCACCCAGCGCAGTGGAGGGCACGGGCCGAGCCGATGGCTGCCGGGGGAGGCGGAGGGGGGTGCGGGGAGTCGGTGGATCATTACCGGGCGGAGGTGGAGCGTCTGACGCGCGAGCTTGCGGAGGCGAACCGGGAGAAGGTCCGGGCGGCGGAGTGCGGGCTCGCGGTGCTGGAGGAGAACCAGACCCTCAAACAACAGTATGCGGATCTGGAGACCGAGCAGGAGTCCCTCAGACTGGAGCTGGAGCATCTGCAGGAGGTACACACGCCTCTTTCTCCTCTTATTCAATCTGCACTCATTCACTGTGGCGCCTCTTCAAACAACAGGCCGGTTGTGTTTGATGTGTTTTAGACCAGAACGGAACAGATTATAATATAGAGTACAAATGAGAATAACTATTCTAAGTAGAAAAGAATATTGCCAAAACTCAGGTGATAGAACATTGCCAAGAAATGTCATGTTATACTATGTTATAGAATAGAATAGAATAGAATATTTCTAAAATTTAGTAAGAACAGGGATAACATAAATGTGTAATAGACCAGAACAGAATTTTATAGAATAATACAACTGAGAAAAACAAAGTAGAATAGAATATTGCCAAAACTCAGGTGATAGACCATTGCCAAGAAATGTTATGTTATACTATGTTATAGAATAGAATAGAATATTTCTAAAATTTAGTAAGAACAGGGATAACATAAATGTGTAATAGACCAGAACAGAATTTTATAGAATAATACAACTGAGAAAAACAAAGTAGAATAGAATATTGCCAAAACTCAGGTGATAGAACATTGCCAAGAAATGTCATGTTATACTATGTTATAGAATAGAATAGAATATTTCTAATATTTAGTAAGAACAGGGATAATATAAATGTGTTATAGACCAGAACAGAATTTTACAGAATAATACAACTGAGAAAAACAAAGTAGAATAGAATATTGCCAAAACTCAGGTGATAGAACATTGCCAAGAAATGTTATGTTATACTATGTTATAGAATAGAATAGAATATTTACTAAATTTAGTAAGAACAGGGATAACATAAATGTGTTATAGACCAGAACAGAATTTTATAGAATAATACAACTGAGAACAACAAAGTAGAATATAATATTGCTAAAATTAATGTCATGATATGGAATAGAACATTCCCAAGAAATGTTATGTTATGGAATAGAATGGAATAGAATATTTCCAAAAATCAGTAAGAACAGTGATAACATACAAGATGTGTGTTGAACAGAAAATGATAGAAAGTAAAATATATGTATTTATGTATGTATATATATTTTTCCCATGTCGACTATTTTAACTACATGAAAATAACCACTAGTAGTAATGAATAAATGAGCAAAGCAAACAAACAAAAGCAAAGCAAGTAGGCCTATGTCCTGTATGTGTGTGTGTGTGCACACACATATATACATATATATATATACAAACTTTTATGTTAGATTGATCGCGATTAATCAGTTAGACAGCACTAATAATGATGTACTGCGTAAGTTCAAGACTATTTTTTCCCAACATTTAGTTCTAATGATCTACTTTTTCCCGTTTGAATTCTCATCAGCTATCATAAAAGATTTGAGTAAGCAAGAGATTTAGATTTACAGCAGATGTAAACATGAGTGTCCCGGGACGTTTCAGATTCGCTGATGAGTCGCACACTAAATTACGTTCTCGACTGGTGCATAAGGACATTCATTTTCATCCCATATCGCTTCCTCGTCTATATTCTCCCAGCCAGTTTATTAGTAGATGTATAGCGTATACTCTTGCTGACTGCAGTGGACTGCGCTGAAGGTTAGCACAGGGTGACGACTGCCAGCAAACACACTCACGGATAATAAGATTGACAGAGACGGTTGAAGAGCATGTCTGCTTCAGTCAGGAGTCCTCCATATGCACTTGAATACAAAAGAAAAGACTGTCATTGAGATCCCCCAAAAACTTGAAGACAACAGAAAATGTAATGGGTGTGATGGGTTTATGATTATTTTTTTTACATTCTTAGTTTTTTGTGTGTGTTGGAGTTGATATAGATGACTGAAAATGAGAAGCGCAGGCTTTACTTTTGATTGGCCGTTTCAGTTCTCCATTAAACCTCAATGAACTGTATTGATTGTTGTTTAACAGATCATAGGTCTGCGCTGGAATAATTGGTCACACAAATTTGGCATTTAGTGGTGTTCTTCCGTGTCATCTATATGATAACGTGCCAGAGTTGTGAGCACTGGGAGAAAGGCCTTCGATAAACCCTCTCCTGTGGCCTCATGGGATAGTAACGTGTCCATCAAATGCACACTTCAGAATCTCACCGGAAGAAGCCTAGTATTTCATCCGGGTACTTTTTGCCGACTGTTTTTCAAATACGAGGTATTCGGACATATTACTCTGTTGGCGTACAGTTTTTCACATACTATATAGTAGCGAAGCATTACATTTTTAGACACAGCGTATATTTTTTTTATTCTTTTCAGTATTGAAAGTAGAAGTAAATTGTAAGTACGCATTTAAATATATTATCAACATTTCTCTCCCTTTATCCATTTATTTATTGCAAGTACACACACACACACGTATATATATATACACATATACATAAGTCTGCTTGTAGTGCCTTAAATACTGCCTAGGCATGTAGCAGCTCATGTTTAGATTTTCTATTGTCATTATTCCTGATATAATTTCTTGTAATATGCATTTTATTGGTAATTATCTGTCTTTCCCGGTGTATGAAATAGTAATGGTAATCTGAGGCATACCAGATGATGATGGCATCTGCTGATATATTATTCATAAATGTCTATTTCTGACATTCAAGACTCCCCATCGCCCTGCTAAGATTGGCTGCTACTATAACATGAAACTGGGGAATAGCAAAAATATAATTATAAACAAAATTATTTGTGATAAAAGAGGAGATAAATATATATAACAACAATCACATAAAAAAGTTAGTTAACTCTTTATTTTAAGGTGACGCATTAACGTTACTACATATAGTAATAACAGTAAATTAGGCATAATTACAAGTAACTAACCCTAAACCCTAACTCTATAATAAGTACATGTTGTTGATTAATATTACTCAGTACTTATTTGAGTAAGTACAATGCAATTATGTCACCTTAAATTAAAGTGTAACCAAAAGTTATATACAGTTTGGCTTTTTGTTTTTGCAAAAACTTGTTTCCCAAAGTCTTTGTTTGTGTTTCCTTGGCAAACCCACACACCCGTGATCCGAGAAGCGTCCAGGAGCCTAACGAGACGTCCCAAGAATTCCCATTACAATCCGCCATTCATTACAATCACTGCTATTACACTGCACAAGTATTTCAAACGCTGTTTTATAGTTGTTTACTTGAATTCCTCTGCCTTTATCAATCACTCAGAGCGAATCTCCTGGAGTCTTTCTCAATAAACAAGCAAAATTGTCCGTTTATTGGCCGATTCCCGTAACCTGCATTTGCAGAATGTATCAGTTTCTGTTGTGGCTTGTAATCTGCCAATTAAAGCACAACAGTTGTTCCTTAAATATCACAAATACAAGCAAAACCGACTCAGATGTAATTCACTCTTATGTTAACAGTCTGGTGTCGTCTCCATCTCAGATATAAAGCTGCTCTGCAGTATGACTAGTGAGAGTGTTTTTTACCCCGACTGAGAGTGTAAGTCGTGTGAAGGCTTTGAGGGTGGAGTCTGTCTCAGCGATAACGCTTAGGGATATTTGAGGCTGTGTTTTATTCCCGTTGTTCAGCAGTGGTTGCAGAAATATTAGAACGAGTTTAATTGTTTTCTTGTTGTGATGCCTTTGTGCATTCGGATGTTTTTGGATGATTATTTAATAAGTGTGATTGCTGTAATGGCTTATATTATCAAGGTAACAGTACAATGGTTTCTTATTTGCTGTTGATGATGAGATGCTTGGGCTCATAGACCTGCATTTGCTAAGTGCTGATTGGTGGTAATATGCTTTAAAGAATTAGTTCACCTCAAAATGAAAATTTACTGATAATTTACTCACCCCAATGCCATCTAAGATCTTCATGTCTTTCTTTCTTCAGTGGAAAAGAAATTAAGTTTTTTGAGGAAAACATTTCAGGATTTTCTCCACACAATGGACTTCAACGGTAACCAACATGTTAAAGTCCAAATCAATGCAGTTTCAAAGGGCTATGAAGAGCTTCACATGGCTCTGCTCGATCCCAGCTGAGGAAGAGGGTCTTATCTAGCGAAACCATCACTCATTTTATAAAAAAAATAAACATTTATATACTTTTTAACCACAATTGTTCGTCTTGTGCTGGTCTGCGACGCGCAAGGGATTACGTCACGTTGGAAACGTCACAATTTTTTTATTTTTAAAAAAAAATAATAATAATAAATTAAAACAAAGATGTCAGACGATTGATGAGATGGAATTTTTCGCCCTTCCCTGCCTTTTTGAACCGGAGTACACAGACAAATAACTTAGACAGATGATGTGACGCGTGACGTTTCCAACATGATAACGTAATCCCTGGCGCGTCGCAGACCAGCACAAGACCAACAATTGTGGTTAAAAAGTGTATAAATGTTTATTTTTTTATATAAAATGGCCGATCGTTTTGCTAGATAAGACCCTCTTCCTCAGCTGGGATCGAGCAGAGCCGTGTGAAGCTCTTCAAAGCCCTTTGAAACTGCATTGATTTGGACTTCAACATGTTGGTTGCCGTTGAAGTCCACTGTGTGGAGAAAAATCCTGAAATGTTTTCCTCAAAAAACGTAATTTCTTTTCCACTGAAGAAAGAAAGACATGAAGATCTTGGATGGCATTTGGGTGAGTAAATTTTTCATTTTGATGTGAACAGGGTGGGAAATTAGCACCGGCCACCAGCCAATGGCCGGTACTTTTTCAAAGTGGCGGGTGACTTTGCCTTGTATACCAGCCACAGTGGCGGGTAGATTGTAAAACATATTTTTATTGGTTACTACTTAAAACATTCCTTGTAACGGATTGGACAGCTTTTGTCAAAGAATGCTGTTGCTAAGTAACAATAATGCACTTTTGTCGAGTAACTAATTTGATTGGTTTTCAGCGGACCGTGACACATATAGCTGAGCTGAGGTACAGATGAAAGGAAAATTAAAAAAATGTGGCGACATATACCCGGTGTTAAGAGGCCCGCCGCGGAGTCAGCAGTAGCTATGAATGTACAAACTGTTGAGGGCGAAGTAAATAAAAAGAAAAGGTACTTTTCGAA